CTTTCACTTTTCACTTTCATGCATTGGAGAAGGAAATGGCAATCCACTCCAGTGTTCTTGCCTGGAGAATCCCAGGGACGGGGGAGCCTGTTGAGCTGTTGCCTATGGGGTCACACAGAGTCGGACACGAATGATGTGACTTAGCAGCAGCAGCAGCAGTGGCTGAATCACAATGTTGTGTTAATTACTGCTGTACATCAAAGTGACTCACTTATACACACATATATCCACACACGCTCTTTTTCATATTCTTTTCCACTATAGTTTATCACAGGATACTGAATGCAGTTCCCTGTGCCCTAACAGTAGGACCCTGTTGTTTATCCATCCCCTATTTATTAGTCTGCATCTACAACTACTAGTCCCAAACTCTCAATCCTGCCCTCTCCCACCCTACTCCCCCTTAGCAACCACCAGTCTATGCTCTATGTCCCTGATTAGAGAACTAGATCTAGAACCCACATGCCACAACTAAGTGTTTCCAGGTCACGACTAAAGATTCTGTATGTTGCAACTAACACCAGGCGCAGTCAAATAAATATTTTTATTAAAAAAAAAAAAAAGAACTGTCCATTTCATAGTAAATACTCAATGTGTATTAGCCACTCAGTCATGCCCAACTCTTTGTGACCCCATGGACTGTACCTGCCAGGCTCCACTGTCCATGGAATTCTCCAGGCAGAATACTGGAGTGGGTTGCCATTTCCTTCTCCAGAGTATCTTCCCAACCCAGGGATCAAACCCAGGTCTCCTGCACTGCAGGTAGAATTCTTTGCCGCCTGAGCCACCAGGGAAACCCAAATACTCAATACATGACACTTATTATCATTAACTAGTATTCTAAGGAAGTTAAATTTGTGTTTGTTAAGTGCACAAAATGTTCCTTACAGTAGCACATATTAACAAAACAATTTGGAAACAAAGTGTCTGAAAATCTGTGAAATGTTAATTAAATACCAATATCTGATAGGATACAATGTAGTCATTTCCATGCTGCTATGGACTGTATTTATACCATCTCATCAAAATTTTTTTGTGAAAGAAATTATCAGAAAACAATGTTTCATTTAAACTGCTATTAAAATTATGCAATGAATATGTACATGGATAAAAATAAAAGGAAGCATGAACAAAATAAAAATAGAAGGTCATTTAAAAATTTAAGAAACTTTATAAGGAATAGCCACTATTATACAGAGAATGATGGTGATAGCTTTTTTTCGCCTCTTCAAATACAGGCAGTAAAAAAAACACTACCATTCACTAAATCTTTACTAGTATTTCAGGTACTGCACAAAGTTTATATACATCAGCTCTTGTAATCTTAATAACAAATCAAAGGGTAGGTAAACAACAGAAATATCTTGGGCAAAATAAAACTGAATAAGACACTAGAACCAGGGTTACTTACTGGAAATTCACTCTGGTAAATACACTCAATTATTAGAATTATTTTTATTACAGTAAGTAAACATAAACATACAAACTATACCAACAAAATTTAGTTTAAGTAATATTTGGGTACCTAAGTCTTTAACTTACAAGGTATTCCCAATTTCAGTTCTGTAAAATGACAAAAACATACTTACCATGTCACGTGGAAAGCCTGTCGACATCCATGTTTATTACATGTCATGCAAGCACCAGTGGCTGCTTTGCTTTCTCTTCCTTGTTCATCACAAATGTAGCAAGTCTTAGGGTAAAGAAAAAAAAAGAAAGAAAGAAATAAAAACCTTACAAGTGCTTTATACAGATATGGATTTTATAGTTATCTTCACAGCTCAAAATCAGGTTTACTAACTAATCTACTCCAAAATATAAATCTATTTTTTTCTATTTATATCTATTTTACAAGCAATACAAATATGAAAACATCAATACAGACATAAATAGTCCTTGTAGGATTTCACAAGGCACAGTTTCCTAGAATCAAAAATCCCACAAGACAGGAGGAATCCTTAGAGGCACTGAGTCCAGGGTGAAGAGTATAGCTTACGCCACCTCGGTATTAAAATCTCCTGTCCACTATTTAACTGATTCCTGTAACAAAAGTGTAAAATGAGGTTTGTCTTTCTTTTCTGCTAGAAGTGAGCATACAGAAAGGAGTTGGATAAAGGGAGCTGGGACTCAATGGGTGAGGGACAGTCCTTAATGAATGAGCAAAGTTTAGGTCATTCCAACTGTTCACAAGAAGCCCTCCCACATGAGCTACCCATCAGCCCTGCTGACCTGACACACTAGGTCTGGGAGGAAACGCCTCTAGGAGATCAGAGGAGCCCCCAAGAGCTACTGGCCAGCAAACACTCCCAGCAACTCTGACATCTACCTGGCCCTTTTTCTCAGGTGAAAATAGCTGATAATGAACAGCTAAATTATAAAAATGGCAATCTTCAAGTATATAATAAATAAAACTATCAACTGACTGTAAGTATACAAAAAATTAATGCCTAACTACATATAATCAGATGATGCAATTCTAAAAATAAATCAATCTGAATAAGGTATAACCTAGCCAACATCAATAGGACCACATCTATTTCTTAACTTGGAGAAGTTTCTCCCACAATGCACTGTGGTGCCAAATTACACCATTCAATAATATTTACAAGAACACAGTTTCCAAAAGCCTAATATTTAGACAAGCAGGTAAATGAATTTCAACTTCTCTGCTGAAGGATAGAGACTGAACTGAATTACAAAAATTACTTTGTATGTCTAAAAAAGAAAAACCCAAATTACAACAAAACTAACCTAAACACACTAACAATCATAAGAGCATCTCTAACTGTTCACATTACCAGAAGGCAGTATCAAACAATTATAATGGAATCATTTAACATACATATTTTAGCCTATAAATGATAAATTAAATTTCTAAAAGAAAAGTACAAAGCAGGTTGAAACAGTAATATTTTAAAATATTCAGGGGCAATATGCAAACAGACCTCAAAGAATATCTCAGTAACTTCCAAAACAATTGCAGTGAAAAGACACCATCATTTGACCATTCAATAAAACTAAACATTATGACGGATTTTACTTTTAAGGAGTTAGGCCTTCCAAATATACGGAATAGCAGAGTTAAGAGGTCCAGGAATCCTCTCCTCAGTGAATTAAATGCTTCATAGGTGAAAAAGAATCACTTGAAGTCTCTGTATAGAATAAGCTGCTCCCGAGTGCGTGTGTGCTCAGTCATGTCCGACCCTTTACAACCACATGGATTGTAGCCCACCAGGCTCCTCTGTCCATGGAATTTTCCAGGCAGGAATAATAAGAGTGGGTTGCCATTTCCTACTCCAAGGCATCTTCCCGACCCAGGTATCTAATCTACATCTCTCACGTCTCCTGCACTGGCAGGCAGATGCTTTACCATTGTGCCATCCAGAATAAGCTACAAGGATATACACTACAACACAGGGATGATAACTAATATTTTATAATAACTATAATGGAATATAACCTCTAAAAATTATGCCACTATACTGTATTATATCTGTATGTATTTAATACTGTATGTCAACTTACAGTCTCTGAAAACTGTCCTAATGGCATGCAGCAAAGAGACTATTTTATCCAAGACAATCTACTAAATCTCATTAAGAACAGTGAGCATCTGTGGCACGTGAGCCAGGATCTGTCCCCATTACCACCCTTTTAAGAAAAACACAGATATTTCTTTCTCACTTTGTTAATTTAAAAAACAATTACCTAAAACAATGTCCATAAATTGTACTGTTGGGACTATAACATATAGAAATGTAATATATGTAACAATGACAACACAATGAAAGAGAATGGGGAAAAAGCTATTCTAGAGTAAGGAAATAACATCAGATGGTAACTAAAGAAATGAACAGAAACAAAAATGGTAAACAGAAAAACACACTCTATAAATATATTTGTGTGTGTCTTCTCTTAGTTTAGTTTGTGGGTGTCTTCTCTTTAGTTTGGGGCTTCCCTGGTGGCTCAGAGGTTAAAAGCATCTGCCTCCAATGTGGGAGACCCGGGTTCGATCCCTGGGTTGGGAAGATCCCCTGGAGAAGGAAATGGTAACCCACTCAGTATTCTTGCCTGGAGAATCCCATGAACAGAGGAGCCTGGTAGGCTACAGTCCACAGGGTCGCAAAGAGTCAAACACAACTGAGCGACTTCACTTTCACTTTTCACTTTCACTTTCTCTTAGTTTCTTTAAAATATGTAAGATTATATAGAGCAATAATTTAAACTATTTTGGGGCTTGTACTATTATATAGAGACAAAATATCTATAATAGTAATAACACAAAAGTGGGGAGGAAAGAAATAAAATAAATGCCATGAACATTTTATTTCTTACTGGAGGTTAAGCAGATTCTATGAATTAAGATGAATATTATAAACCCAAGAGCAACCACTAAGAAAATAATCCAAGAAAATATAATTTAAAAGTACAATGGAAGATGTAAATCCAACCATATTAACAGCACTGAATATGAAGAGACTGATAAAGGCAGACAGAGACTGATAAACTGGATTTTAAAAAAAGTTCTATATGCTGCTTATAGGATGCATACTTTAGGTTTGAAGACACAAGAAAGTTAAAAGTAAAAGGATGAAAAAAAGATATACCATGCATGGAGAAGGAAATGGCAACCCACTCCAGTATTCTTGCCTGGAGAATCCCAGGGACAGAGGAGCCTGGTGGGCTGCTGTCTATGGGGTCACACAGTCGGACACGACTGAAGTGACTTAGCAGCAGCAATTTGATATGAATGAAAAAAAATCTCCCAGTGACTGTGCACTAAGAAATAAGTCCATGCATTCAGATAGTTGTAAATAAACCTGCTTAATGTTTATTCCCAACAGGTAAAAACTGAAAAATGACAGCCCAAAGGAAGGGTGGAAATCGCTCTTCTGTAGTAATAGATTCTATGTAGAAACCTGTTAAATAGATTTGGTAAGCCACTGAGTTTTTGAAGTTAAAGCAAAAATTCTTCCTGTGAGCCAAAGGTGGGGTCTCATGCCAATTCTATTCTGGAATATCTTATGTGTGGCCCTGAGACTGTCCTAAGTGTTACTTGTGAAGTTAATCATTACCCCAGCAGTTGTCTAAATTGCTTGATTCCGTGCTTGGTTCGACAGCACATATACTAAATTGCTTGATTCCACTGGGCTGCACACACAGGAGTCTCCAGAGAGCAGCATGTTCCCTTTGCTCTTTGGGGCTGGACTGGTGGTTCTGAACCTAGTGAGCTCTGCTACGAGCCGGAAGACAGAACCCCTTAGTAGCAATGGGGACCAGCCCCTCTTCCGTGGAGCAGATCGACATGACTTTTCCATTGTGATCCCTCCAGGAGGCACAGAATGCTTCTGGCAATTTGCCCACCAGACTGGCTACTTCTATTTCAGTTACGAGGTAGGTACGTGGCGATACTGGGGACTTGTTTTTCTTGTTTGTTCATTTCCTTTTATAAAGGGGGTCAGGTTTCAAATAAACACAAGGTTCTAGTCGTCTTTATTATGCTGTGACTCCCCACCTGTTAATGAAATGGGTCTGCAGTTAAATGGAAACTCTTGATAGATGAATAATCACTAAAACATATGGCTTGGCTTCTCAAATTGGGGGCTGTGGCAGTGTGCTCGAAATCATGGGACAAACTGGGTGCCTCTTCCTGGAGAGGTGATCATCACATTTACTTGAATTTGATGAGAGGGGAAAGAAAGAGTCCATTTTTTAAATATTATAATAATATGGATATGGTACCAAGCTGAATGAAAAAAATCCCATGGACTTTGGAGACAGACCCAGAGATTTCAAAGACGCTTCAGTTTATGAAGTTGGGGGAACAATATTACTCTCTTGCCTTTAGGGGTAATTCCAGCAAATTGAAGAATCACTGACTCAAGGTTTCTCTATGTAGTCAGTCCTATTGCTTAAATACTTTAAGCTAAGTACTTTAATCCATGCTGTGCCCAAGGATGGTCTGCTCAACCGCAACTTAGAAGCTGTTCATTTCCTTTGTTCTTTATCTTGGAAACCTATTAACTTTCTAAATTTTGTCTACATATTAAAAAACGATATTGATCTTATTCCAATGTAACTTAAAATTCATTTTATACTAATTCATCAGAGGTTTTCCTTATCTCTCAATTGGTAATAGAATAGTAGCTACCACACAGCTCACAGCCTGGGCTTATCAAGACCCAGCAGGGAGACAAGTACCTATTGAATGCCTTACTTGCTGTCAAGTATCAAATAAGCCCAAGTCTGGTATACCACTGGGGAGGTCAAAACCAAGTGAGTTCAGCCAAGAACTACATGGCCAGATTCAAGGTCTGAGACATGTTTTCTCACCAGGGGTGCTATTGGCATTTTGGACAATTCTGTCTTGCTTACTGCTTCTAACATAGCAGGATGTTTAGCATTGCTGCCTCCCTGCCCTCCCCTACTCGCACACATCATTGCAAAACCTCGACCCAAATGCAAGGTGGGGGTTGGGCAGTACCATCCCTGACTCAGAACCACTGTGCTGATGGTCACTGGATGTCAAATCTTACCATTCAGTTAGCTTCCTGACGATGTAGCAAGCGCTTTTCTCCCTCTTTAATGTGTCTCGGCAGGTTCAGCGGACACTAGGAATGTCACATGACCGGCATGTTGCTGCCACTGCACATACCCCACAGGGTTTCCTTATACAGACCTCTAAGAATGTTCGGGGCCAGATTAACTTCTCTACCCACGAGACAGGTCTGTTTTCATTCTCACAGCTATTGTAATAATCATGTATTTCTTTGAAATTGGGAAAATAATGAGGAAATATTGAAATTAGTAAGTACCGAGATGCAAAAGCCCTGACTTTTCCACATATGGATGGTGAAACCGTAGGGAAAAAAAATTAACCTTGAACACCAGAAACCAGATTTCCTGTAGACTGCCAGTGGTCAAGGACATTAATCAGATGTCCTTGATTAGGCTCCAGAAGCTTGATTTTATCTCTTCATCTCCAGCGAACCAGATTATGGGAAAGTGATCAAAACAGGCAGACCCATTTATGATACAGAATTACAATTAATAAATTTATTATGGGATAGTACTCCAGTCATCAGAACAACTTGAGCCAGTTACCAAAAAGCAGACTCAGAATATAAGGAAATGCACGGCCATGACAAATATCCACATTCTACAGCAAAGCACTTCTCCAGTCACCAGAAAATTCCCACAGCCAGATTGAGCCTGTCCTCACTCCGGACAGCACTAGTCAGTTTGAACTGTTCTCTGTATCAGCCAGGTGCACAAAACAAGACAGTATTTCTCAACAGGTACATAAGACAATCCTTCAGTTCATAGCACAGGATATCAGCATTATCAGTTCATAGCACAGGATATCAGCATTATTATTTAACATCTTTGGCCCCGATATGCCAGTAACACCTTCCAGTCACTTAGACAATCAAATACACTGACACATCTTTCGAACCCTGCTCCTCCCCACTGCTCCCCCACTGCCACGTGCAGGAGGTGACCCCAGTTGAGAATAAGCATCAGTACATACCCCAAACCAGCAGCCCCCATACAGACCACCTTGCAGGAAGTCACTCCTGGATAGTTTCTTTCATTCACACAGCATCCACCTCTCCTTTTCAAGATCAAGATGATATCCCAGCTCTAATGGTGTACAAGCAGGCAAACAATATGCTCTTAATATGCCTGTGGTTAGAAATTGCTTAGAAGATGTAGAATTAGAGGTTGAAAAAGATGAAAACGTTTTCCATCCAATACAGAGCTCAAGTTACTAAAATCTGGCAAAACAACATTATGGTATTTAGTAAAATACATTTCAAGTAAGATCAGGATCTTCCACATCAAAATCTGAATCTTTGCAGTTTTGTCTATAGGAGAAGGCAACGGCAACCCACTCCAGTACTCTTGCCTGGAAAATGCCATGGACAGAGGAGCCTGGTAGGCTGCAGTCCGTGGGGTCGCGAAGAGTCGGACAGCGACTTCACTCTCACTTTTCTCCTTCATGTATTGGAGAAGGAAATGGCAAACCACTCGTGTTCTTGCCTGGAGAATCCCAGGGACGGCAGAGCCTGGTGGGCTGCTGTCTATGGGGTCGCACAGAGTCGGACACGACTGAAGCGACTTCACAGCAGCAGCACACTTAACTTTGGAGAACAGTTATCTCCAGGGAAATTTAGAGGATGGGAGGGTAGGAGATCAAGAACTTGGTAATGATCTCAGAATCTGTACAGGTTTTTATCAGCTTTGTCTAGCAAACCAGCAAAACCGCTTTGGTTCCGTGCAAGTATACCTCAATTTTGGAGTCTTCTATGAGGGGCCTGANCGAGACAGGTTTTTATCAGCTTTGTCTAGCAAACCAGCAAAACCGCTTTGGTTCCGTGCAAGTATACCTCAATTTTGGAGTCTTCTATGAGGGGCCTGAGATGGACCACAAGGAGAATGAAAGAAAACAACTGAATGATACTCTGGATGCAATTGAGGTAATTGTTCTGTGGGAGAGAAACATCCATGGAAACTAAGCTTAAATTTGGAAGAAAGATTAGAATTAGTGGGAATAATATCATACTAGTGAAAGCTCGTTTCGGTAGAAACCAAGCAGGCTGAAGCCTGTAATTAATTTTGTGACTTAGAGCTCTTGAAATTCCTCACTTGTTTTCTACCAGGCATCAGCAAATAATGGCTCACAGGCCAAATTTGGCTCACAGCCTTTTAATTTAGATATAGCACACCACTTTTAGTGTACAGTTTAGTGGTTTACAAGGTCCTGCAACCATTACCAGCATCTAATTCCAGAAGTTTCATCACTCCAAAAATAAACTGCATGCCTGTTATTCACTCTCTGTTCCCCATGCCCCCCTAGTCCTGGGTAATCCCTCACTAATCTACTTTCTGTTTCTATAGATTTGCCTGTTCTGTACATTTCACATGAGCGGACTCATACAATGTGGCCTTTTGTGTTTGGCTTCTTTCACTGAGCATGTTTTCAAGGTTCAGCCACATTGTAGCATGTGTTAGTACTTCATTCCTTTTTCTGGATGAATAATATTCTATTGTAAATATGCATCCTATTTTGTTTCTTTTTTTTTCCCTTCCTATTTTGTTTCTCATCAGCTGGTAGACATCTGGGTTACTTCCACTTCTTGGCTATCATAAATAATGATGCTGTGAGCACCTGCATATAGATTTTTGTGTGAACATACTTCTATTTCTGTACACACAAAAGTGGATACTCTGCTAGTATAACTTTTTAACTTCAATGAGGTACTGCTCTTTTCCACTGTGGGTAACACATTTTACATACCACCAGCAGCGTTTGTTGAGAGCTGCAATTTCTCTATATTCTTGCCAATGTGTTATTGTCTTTGTTATAGCAATCTTAGTGGGTCTAAGTGTTATCTTGTGGTTTTTAAGTTGTGTCTCCAATGATTAATGACACTGAACATTTTTCCATGTTTTTTTGCCTTTTGTATATCTACTTCAGAGAAATGTCTATTCAAATCCTTTGCCCATCTTAAAATCGTTTTTTTTCAAATGGTGGAGTTCTAAGAGTCCTTTATATATTCTAAATAGTCCTTTATCAGATATATGGTTTGCAAATATTGAGTTGGCCAAAAAAGCTTGTTCAGGATTTTCTAGCATATCTTCCAGAAAAACTTTTCAGCCAATACAGTATTTTATCCCACTGTTTGGGATCTCTCTCCACTTTCCTGACAGTCTCCTTGATGCACAAAAGCCCAGTTTTTCTAAGTGAAGTTTTACTGGAACAAAACAATGCTCATTTGACAATTACAGTTGGTCCCCCTCTGTATCTGCAGGTGGAGAATCTGAAGATATGGAGGGCCGGCAATGGGACCAGAGCATCCTCTGCAGGTCCTGGGACCAATTTCCCCGCAGATACTGGGGGACAGCTCACTGGACACATGTCCGTGGCTGATTTTGTGCCTCAGGTGGCAGAGTTTAGTAACTGCAACAGAGACTGTATGGCTTGCAAAGCCTAGACTATTTACTGTCCGGCCCTTCAGTAAAAATTTGCAGGCTCTTATTTTTAACCATATACAAAGAACAGAAGACACTGCCCAGAATGGCAATGATGTGCTGAGTATATGTCTACATCTAGACATACACTGGAACAGCTTTCTGGTTTCAGCACTGAAATTTTTCATTGTAAAAATTTTTTTAAAACTGAAGTCCAGGTAATTTTTTCATATACAACAAAACTAGCCATTTACCAACAACTCCAATAGGCCATTTTTTTTGTTCTACACCCTCAACAGCCAACTTTTACACATCACAAAATCATGTGACTACAGGAGGTTAGTGCTCGTGGGTACCCAGGTGAGGCTAGATGAGAGGCAGAGAGGAACCTTTTCTGTATTTCATTTTCTGTCCCGCAGGAGAGCACACGAAAGGTGCATTACAATATCTTTCACATGTGGCGACACTACAACTTTGCTCGCATGAGAAAAACAGCTGACTTTTTCCTTCTCCAATCAAACTATAACTATGTGAATTGGTGGTCAACAGCCCAGAGCCTTGTCATTGTTCTTTCTGGGATCCTGCAGCTGTATTTCTTGAAGCGTCTCTTCAATATCCCAATGACTACAGAAACACAAAAGCCAAGATGCTAATAAGCTCAAATGACTACAGTGCCCTAGCTCTTTCCTTCTGGGACACAAGCTTTGTCAAATCTTTATAAAGTTGTTGGGAAAAAAATCAATTTTAGNCTGACTTTTTCCTTCTCCAATCAAACTATAACTATGTGAATTGGTGGTCAACAGCCCAGAGCCTTGTCATTGTTCTTTCTGGGATCCTGCAGCTGTATTTCTTGAAGCGTCTCTTCAATATCCCAATGACTACAGAAACACAAAAGCCAAGATGCTAATAAGCTCAAATGACTACAGTGCCCTAGCTCTTTCCTTCTGGGACACAAGCTTTGTCAAATCTTTATAAAGTTGTTGGGAAAAAAATCAATTTTAGAAAGTTGTACTCCATGGCTCTCATCTACACAGGCAAAACAGCAATAAAATAATAAAATGTGTAAGTTCTGACACTGATTATTTCTAAAGTATGCACTAAATGCTACCATCAAAATACTGCCCATCATATTGCAACCTCTTAACCTTTACTATATCTATTTAGAAATTAACAGAGAACCTTGGAAGGGAGAAGAGTTGAAACAAATGGGACAAAAATATATAAACTGGGTTTTATATGTTGCATACTGAAACAGGAGTGCTTTGCTATAACTGAAAAATGCTTTCTTTTTAGAGATGTCATCTTCGGAATTTAAATAAGCAGTATATACACTAAAGAAACTACAATACAGGAAATTAAATTTTTTCTATGATACACTTTTTTGCTAAAAAGTACTTTAATAATTCTAAAAGTAATTTTGGAAGGCATGGGGGAGGATGGAAGAGCTGAATTATTATTGCAGGGTCTCTGATTAGTGCTTTTTGTCCAATCCAGTGAGTTAATTAAAGACTTATAAGAATATACATGTAAATGAGTCACTCTGCTGTACACCTGAAACTAACACAATATTTTACATCAACTATACGTCAAGAAAAAAAAATTAATTAAAAAAACTGAAAGGTTTATAATAGAAATCAAGGTGATAAAAATAACATTCAGCCTGGGATCATACCATTCAAGAAAAAGATCAAGAAAACCACTTGTTAAAGCCAAGGTAATACGATCAAATTATATTCATAATATCCTATTCTTAGTAACAGAAATACTCAGTATAAGTGTTACAAAAACAAGTCTTAGTATGTATTTAACACCATCATTTGCCAAGCGCTGTGTTAGGTTCTTTACAATCATGATTCTGAATTCTAAAAACTATTCTGAGGAAGATGGCTAAGGTATTTCGAAAGAAGAAAGAAATGAAGCTTACTGAAGTTTAATGACTCATCTAAGGCCATATAGCTAGTAAATGTGAGAAACAGTGTTTGAATCAAGAGTTTTTTCTTCCACACCACACAGCACCTATCATACAGAAAAGCCACAGAATAAACCGCTCTTACTATTTTATCTATATTTCATTTGTAAAATCCCAAACCTGACCTACTTCTGATATGGCAATATCTGTTTTTCATAATATTAATAAATATTTAAGAAAATTCATTATGTTCTTATTATGTGTTTGGAAAACAGTGTTATCATAGATAACAATAACAAGCTATTCTTGTCCTCAGTTCCAACAATTTAGAACCTGTTACTCAAAACAAGAAGCCCTCTGATTCAAATATAAAACACAGTAATCTAGTCAGTCACAATCACAAAGATCTGAAACCTCATTTTTGAGTCATTTCTGCACAGTAAGAATCCAGCCTGTATTTGTCCGTGATAGAGAGAATATTAAACTAAGAAGTCCCTGAAGAGGTCACAAAAATTCAACATGACGGTGGCGCCTACAGAGACACAGGAAACAAAACTAGGCCCTTCCACACAGCCACAAGTCCTTGCGACGATTGTGCTTTAAGTCAATGTCTCTTCGTGCCGCACATATTCCCCAATGTCTGCTTGATGAAATACCACAATCGCCATGGGGTCTACTTTCCTGCAGTCTTGTGTGGACTTTGCTGCCACCCCAAAACCCTGGGATTCAAAAGAAGAGACACTGATTCACTCAAGTCATTCAATAAATACGCACTGAGGTCTGGAAACAACAAAGATGAAAAAATACAGTTCTTTGAAAAATTCAAAAGGTGCCAAGAATTTAGCCTCTCAAGAGCAGACTGAAAACACATCCTTCTTGAAAGAAAAGATACTTGATTTTTTAACAGCCACTATCTCTACTCACCAGAGGGACATCTGCCATGGAGTATACCACGACTCCCTGGTACTGAGAAGTGTTTTCAGTGATTCGCCCAAGTCCAGATTTCAGCACATGGTTCCCATACAGGAAGGACTGCTCTGCTCCAGGTTTTATCCACACTTTATACTAGAAGAAAAAGAATTAAACCCAAAAGACATAAAAATGCTAACAGTTACACCCTTGTAGATTAGCTAACTACTATGTCTGTGGTTAATTTCTTTTTTTCTTATGAACTAAGCTCTTTTACTTTTACACTGAATTATGTGCATGCATGTGTATGTTCAGTTGCTCAGTCGTGCCCGACTCTTTGTGACCTCAAAACTGAAGTACTGTGACCTACAATACTATGTCAGTTGCAGGTACAAAACATAGTGATTGTTATTTCTACACATCATTTATTTTGTAATATGAATTTTCAAGGAAAGAGGGCTGTTTCCCTTAAACCGTTCACTCCATGAGAGAACTACCATGAGATTCTTTCCTCAACTCTTCAATTTCTCCCATGGGTTTAAAGTTTAACAGCTCTTTTTCTGTAGCCCACTGTGCTCCTCTTCATAGCCACCTATTTCCTTTTTGGTCTCGAGCTGCGTTTGCATAGGCTTTTCAATTTTTGCTGGAGATAAGGACCACTACGCAGCCCACAGGGTGAGCTCCTACCCCCCAGCACCAACGACGCCCAGGTAGCAAATGTATGGCTACAGGTGCTGGCACTGACCCTAAGCATGGTCAGGGACTCCGTTGCATAGCAGATGTGCCTAATTCTGCGTTCTGATGTGGCCCTCGGCCTAGACTGCCTCCATCCCTAGTGGCGAGCTGAAACCACCTTACAAACCTTGGCATAGGGTGCTAGGTAATCCAGAGCCGTGATGTGCAACCGAAACTTATGGGTCTTGGTGAATTTTCCGAAGCACGTCCCCAACGACACCAGCTTGTCACCGGAGATATTGGCGGCCAACTTCAAAATCTTCTCACTGAAGGGATAGGGAAGGAGGAGGTGAGGGAGTACGGTGGGATCCAGGCCCGCACCCGCTCCACGCTGCCTACCTGGCCCCGCGCCGCCTCACCTCACGTAGTACACCCGGTCGTTGTGCAGCCTGAAACAGTAGGTGCCGTCGGGCCTGTCGACCAGCAGCTGAAGATTCTCCCCGATGCTGAGAGCAAAATGAGGACTGGAGACGGCGCCCGGACTCGTCCACACACCGCGCCCCACTCCCTACCCACGCTCCTCCCCGCCAACCACACACTCCCTCTTCTGCTCCAGCGCTCTTACTATTTTGCTATCTTCTCAAACATTACTCGGGTCTCCTCTTCAGTCAGCGGCCTCATTTTCCCGCTGGGTTGGAACGCCGGATCCTCGTGCCTCAGTTAGCGGAAACGGAAGCCCAGCCGCCGGCCGCTCCTTGGCAACCCCAAAGCCGGCCTCTCTAGCTGCTTTCTAATAGTTCCCCACGCTAGCGCCCCGTAATCTGGAGGACTCTCGGGAAAAGAAAGCCGGCCTGACGAGAAACCATAGAGACTGGAAGTGAGCCCCAGTCGCTTCCGGTTCTAGATTAGAAAGTCAGCGCCCTCCCTGGATGGGAGAGGAAGTGACGCTGTTGCCGAAAAGATGGCGGCGACGGCAACGATCCCATCTTCAACTACGGCCTCGGCCACGACGACAGCCACCGCGGCTGCTCTCGGGGAGGTGGAGGATGAAGGGCTCCTGGCGTCGCTGTTCCGGGACCGCTTTCCGGAGGCCCAGTGGCGGGAGCGGCCTGACGTGGGACGCTATCTCAGGGAGTTGAGTGGCTCAGGACTGGAGCGGCTACGGCGGGAGCCCGAGCGCCTGGCCGAGGAGCGAGCGCAGCTGCTGCAGCAGACGCGCGACTTGGCCTTCGCCAACTACAAGACCTTCATCCGCGGCGCCGAGTGCACCGAGCGCATCCACCGCCTCTTTGGGGATGTGGAGGAGTCGCTCGGCCGCCTGCTCGACCGCTTGCCCAGCTTCCAACAGAGCTGCAGGTGCGGCGGGCCCGGAGCTAGAGGGGCTTTTAATAACTGTAATAGTTGTCTTTATGATGATAGGAATACTTAACACTTAGAGCTTACTATATGCCAGCTTCTCCTCTGAGCATTTTATTAATCCTTTTAAGCATCACAACAGCCTTCGAGGTACGCATGCCATTCCCATTTTGTGTATAAGGAAATTGAGACCGCCCCAGGATGTTTCTAAGTCAGAACTGGAACCCAGCAGCACGTCCCTCTTAGGGCTGCTGTGAGCACTAAATGGAATGCATACAAAGCACTTATCATTGGGTCTGACATATCATAATTAACACCCTACAACTGTCAGCTTAATATATGTGCATATTTAGGTAAACATACACACAACACACACGTACTTACGACAGCTTGGATCAGAGATATCTGATCCAAAACTTTCACTGACAGGAGACTGACAAGAAAATCCCATTTGGGAGCAGTAATAATCCTCAAAAAACCCCACAAAAACTCCACCAAACTTCCTTTTTGAACCATATTCTGTCTCTATCATTATCCCTAATTCTGCCTTCCAGCCTTTCATGAGAAAAGTGTTTTCTTTAGAGTCTTTCAATATTTGAGAATAGCTTTCACATTCTTCCAGTCCTCTAGAATAGAGAAGGGGCTTCACAAAGCAGGCCTCTGCAGTTACAAAGAAGAAAGGGGGACTGTAGCAGGAACTAAGGTTGGACAATAGCAGAGATTAAGAGGCTGAGGGAACTTGGGGGTTAGGTTGTAGTTCAAAGCTACTTGGGGCAAATAAGAACAGCCATTATTAAAGGAACATTTACTCCATATCAGATTCTGTGTTAAATGGTTTATACCTATCAGCTCATTTAATCCTCACATCCTTATGAGGTGGGTCGTAGTACTATTTTACCAATGAAGAAACAGTTCAGAGAGACTAAGTACCTTGCCATGGCTTGTTAAGTGGCATGCTGCTACTGCTGCTGCTAAGTCGCTTCAGTCGTGTCCGACTCTGTGTGACCCCATAGACGGCAGCCCACCAAGGCTCCCCTGTCCCTGGGGTTCTCCAGGCAAGAACACTGGAGTGGGTTGCCATTTCCTTCTCCAATGCATGAAAGTGGAAAGTGAAAGTGAAGTTGCTTAGTTGAGTCCGACTCTTAGCGACCCCATGGACTGCAGCCTACCAGGCTCCTCAGTCCGTGGGATTTTTCAGGCAAGAGTAGTTAAGTGGCATATCTGGATTCAAATCTTTTTTTTTTAATCACTTATTAGTTGTGTGATCTTAGACAAGTTGCTTAAAATCTTTGGGATAAAAGTACCTGATGAGTTTGGTGTAAAGATTAAATCAGATTAATCATCTAGCCTGGTGTCAGTTCATAGTAAGTGCTTGGTAACTGGATGCAGAGCGGTGAACCACCAAATGTTCTCCTGACTGTTACTAGGAATTTTGTGAAAGAGGCTGAGGAGATCAGTTCCAATCGCCGGATGAACACCCTGACTCTAAACCGGCACACGGAAATTCTGGAGATCCTGGAGATCCCTCAGCTCATGGATACCTGTGTCCGGAACAGCTATTATGAAGAGGCCCTGGAGCTGGCAGCCTACGTACGCCGACTAGAAAGGAAATACTCCTCCATTCCTGTCATCCAGGTAGCCAACTTGCCCAGAGAAGACTCAAACTTATGTTCTTATGGTCAGTAATTCTGTGGTCATCACTGACCCTTTAGGCAGAAACCTTGGAGAAACTCCTTGCATGTTTCACATCAGTTACTGCAAAGCAGGCAGGCTTATTCATAAAACATACATTCATTACTCAGTCAGCTGATAAATATTACCCATGTGCCAGGCAGTGATCTAGGTGCCTGGGAAGTAGTGTGAACTACTAGGGAAGTAGTGTGAACAAAGACAAGGCTGTGGCTCTTGTGACTATAAGCTGTTAACTGGCAAATAGATAATATCCTTTCAGATAGTGAAATACACCAGGGAGCGGGGTAGAAGACTAGGTGGGGTGCTCCAGGAAGAGTGGTCAGAAAAGGCTTTTCTGGAGAAGTAACATTTAAGCTGAGATCCAGATGATGAGAATCCAGCCACATGAAGATGTGGGGAGAGACCAAACCAGAAAGTGTCTGACCAAGTATAGCAGGCTAAGGAGCGAAGAAGTTGGAGTGTTTAGAAGTAAAAAAGACAGCCATTCTGGCTGGTCTGCAGTGAGCAAGGGGAGAGCATTAGGATGCAGGTGAGGGCAGGAGAACCAGGCAGGGCCGGTAGGCCACAGTGAACCGAATCTTTGTTGGTAAGCCTGGATGCATCAGTTTCAGGAGGTCTATCTCATATGTCAGGACAGCAGTGGGAATGTTGGTTGGCAATATTCAGGGCTAGTGGAATGGGTTCCGGGGAGTGTCTTCCCTAGCGTACTGACTCACCCCGTGTTGTCAGGGCATTGTGAATGAAGTGCGCCAGTCCATGCAGCTGATGCTGAGCCAGCTGATCCAACAACTGAGGACCAACATCCAGCTCCCTGCCTGCCTCCGTGTCATTGGCTTTCTACGGCAAATGGATGTCTTCACTGAGGCTGAGCTGAGGGTCAAGTTTCTTCAGGCCCGAGATGCTTGGCTCCGTTCCATCCTGACTGCCATCCCCAATGATGATCCCTATTTCCACATCACAAAAACCATCGAGGCCTGCCGTGTCCATCTGTTCGATATTATCACCCAGTACCGTGCCATCTTCTCAGACGAGGACCCTCTGCTGCCTCCTGCCATGGGTGAGCACATGGTGAATGAGAGTGCCATCTTCCACGGCTGGGTGCTGCAGAAAGTCTCACAGTTCCTGCAGGTGCTGGAGACCGACCTTAACCGAGGGATTGGCAGCCGTCTGGACTCTCTGCTGGGCCAGTGCATGTACTTTGGGCTGTCCTTCAGTCGAGTAGGGGCTGATTTCCGGGGTCAGTTGGCACCTGTTTTCCAGCAGGTGGCTATCAGCACTTTCCAGAAAGCAATTCAGGAGGCTGTCGAGAAGTTTCAGGATGAAATGAACTCTTATACGCTCATCTCGACTCCAGCCGTCCTGGGCAGCAGTACCCTGCCGGCTGCTGCTCCAGTCACTCAGCCGGGGACCCTGCAGCCGCCCATGGTGCTCTTAGATTTCCCGCCCCTTGCCTGCTTCCTCAACAACATTCTGGTCGCCTTCAATGATCTACGCCTCTGCTGCCCCGTGGCCCTGGCGCAGGATGTGACCAGGGCCCTGGACGACGCCCTTGACAAGGTGAGCGCAGACTGTTGGCTCTCTACTGGGGCCTCCTTTCTTTTTGCGGGGGGCGGTAGCAGGGTGCTCCTTTTGTTACAGGTGGCGAGACTTTTGTAATACACCAGTCTGTGTGACAGGGTGCCTGCTGACTTAGGTTTAGTGTGGTTTTAGAGGTTTTTCTAGTTGAAAAGGTCTGGTTAGTCCTCCTTCATGAAGTGGCTCACCTGTAGTAATTTTTCAGTGATGTATTGGTTTTCTGTTGCTGCATGACAAACTCACACAAACATAGCAGCTTAAAACAACACATATTTATCATGTCTCAGTTTCTGTGGGTCAGGAGTCCAGGCACAGTATAACTGGGTTGAGCTTCTGCTCACAAGGTTGTAATCGAGGTGTTGGCCCGACTGTGGGCTCATCTGGGGCTCGGGATCCCCTCCTTTCAGGTTCATTCACAGTGGCATATTCCTGTTCCTTACAGTGTAGGACTGAGGCCCTCAACTCCTGGAGACCACCTCACTCCATGAGCAGCTCACAGCTTTGATTCTTCAGGGCCAGTGGGAGAGCATCTCTCCTCCTTGAGTCTCTTCCTCAGCCCTCTTTTTAAGAGATTCATCTAATTAAGTCAGGCCCACCCAGGATAACTTCCTTTTTCATTAATTCACAGTCAGCCGATTTGGGATGTTAATGAAAACTGCAGAATCCTTCACCTTTGCCATATCCTTTTGGTTCTGCCTGCGCTCAAGGAGGAGGAGGAAACACAAAGGAGTGGGTACCAGGAGGTGGGGATCACAAGAGCCATCTTAGAATTCTATCTAATATAAGGAACACTACTGATCCTACTAATTTCTGAGTATGGTGCATGTTTTTAAACATTACATCTTTAGATTCTTACAATTGATGGCATCCTATAGTCCCTGTCAACCAGGCGGCAGTTGTGACGTGCTTGTATCGAGTCTTTCTGTTGATGTCCTCCTGTAAGAAACAGCAAGAAAGCATGAGCAATGAGGCTTTTTAGGGTCAGTGAAATTCATATAATAGTAATTAGCTAGTATCCATCTAGAGCTTACCTCATGTCACATAGTTCATCACACTTTATACATATTCAGCCTTTATCCTCACAATTCTATGAGGTTAGGTCCTTCTGCTGGCTCTGCTTTATAGATGAGTGAACTGTCAGACACAGAGGGCTAAGTAATCACTTAGAGGCCACAGAAGCACTGAGTGCACAGCTTGAACTAGAGCCCAGAACATTTAGCACCAGAGGCTCTTTGTTATTTACTTGTTTGTTTGGCGGTACATTGCAGCTTGTGACCAGGGATTGAACCCAGGCCCTCGGCAATGAAAGCACAGATTTCTAACCACTGAACCACCAGGCAGTTTCCCAGAGTCTCTGTTCTTATCCCTGTCACCGTGACACCTGTCTGTAATGTTAGCTAGGCTTGCCCTGTTATTTGTATGTGGAAATAATGTATGTTCTTTTCCAGCTCTGTTTTCCTCCTCCTTTACAATTTTCTAGTGGTTCTAGCATTTTGGAACTTCAGAGGCCTTACTCAGTAAAACCTTTTATGGTATTGCTGGTATTTTCCTGGATCCATCAGAGTTCTAGTCCATCTCCCATGGGAGCCAAAAATGATGTATTCTGTGTATTTCATGATGCTCCTGCACTGGAATTGGAAACTGCACCAATAATAAAACTAGTTGAGTAAGGAATATATCATTGAAGTGACAGAATTGTGAAGACTGACCACAGTTGTGAATTTAAACAAGATAATGATGTACTGTTTGGAAGGACTGTTCTTTTGGAAAACTTGAGGGCTGCACATGTTTGTCACTGCTGATGGGGATAGATTAACAGGTAATTGGCGGTGCCCTTTTCTCCTAGGTAACTAAAGTAATCCTGGCCTTCCATCGTGCAGAAGAGGCTGCCTTCAGCAGTGGGGAGCAAGAGCTCTTTATCCAGTTTTGCACTGTCTTCCTGGAAGACCTTGTTCCTTATTTAAATCGCTGTCTCCAAGTCCTTTTTCCTCCAGCTCAGATCGCACAGACCTTAGGTAAGAGAAGGGAGAAGAAAAGATTTTTAAAACTATTTTATTGACATAATTCACATACTAAGTAATTCACCTATTTTTAAAATTAAGAGTTTTTAGTAAAAATGTACAGAGGTGTGCAACCATTGCTACCATCTAATTTTAGAACATTTCCATCACCCCAAAGATCCCTGGTGTTCATTTGTGGTCATTCCCCAATCTCACCCTTAGCCCCTGGCAGCTACTAACCTACTTTCTGTTGCAGTAGATTTTCCCTTTCTGGATATTTCTTTTTCTTTTTTTTGGACATTTCTTATCAATAGACTCATTCAATATGTTTATATCTGGCTAAGTGAAAGAAGCCAATCACAAGAAACCACAATGTATGATTCCATTGCCATGAAATGTTTATAGACGGTGTTTATGAAGTATTTTTTTGTAATTTGCCTTCGTGTCCCTTTGCCCACTGTCTCTGTGTGGTGAAGGGCATGCGGGAGGGCAGTGGCCAGTGGTCCCACCAGCAGAGTGGCTGCTCTTGGCTTCCCCAGCTTCTCCCTAGCCCTGTCCGGGGAAGCCAGTGCCTGTCCGGGGAAGCCAGTGCCTGCCCAGGCTCTCCTTTCTCCATCCGCCCTGCACTGTGCTGTTCCGCTTACCTTCACAGTCTGGCTTTACGGCACAGCTCCCTGTCCCCTATCACAAAGGTGATTTTTACAGTACTGAAATGTGGTAACTGTGTTCGTTACTCCCAGTGTTTTGGGATTTTTTCCCTTGTGACACATCAATATTTAAACTTATTAAAAGTTTTTTTCACTTATGTTCTTTACCTTCTGGGTCAGGCATTCCACCCACTCAGCTCTCCAAGTACGGAAACCTGGGGCACGTGAACGTCAGCGTAGTCCAGGAGCCTCTGGCCTTTATCCTGCCCAAGAGAGAGCCGGTCTTCTGTCTGGACAAGGAGCTAGTCCCCGAGCTCCCGGCTCCAGCGCCAGCACTGTCCCCCGAGGCGCCGAGCCCAGAGCGCGTCCGCCCAGCTGTCCCTGACGCGAGGCAAGAGGAGGTGGAGTCCGCGGGGCCCCCGCAGCCCGACGAGCCCAGTGCGGGTATCTGACAGGCGCTGCCTGCCCCCAAGGCCGATGCGGCGGGTCCCCGGGCGCGGGGTGGGGGAACGTTACGCCGCCCCGGTGGGAACGGGTGTTGCCGCGCGTGGGAGAGGCTGCAAAACGCGTAATTCAAGAGAGAACCCTCAAAGCAACCATATTCCAATTAAATTTAAAAAATAGTGAACCTCTTGGCTATTCTTGTAAATGCTTGGTTAAACTATCAGAAACGGGGGTAGGGGGGAGGGGGACTATCAGAAACGGGACTTAATAAGGCTGAAAGACGCCGCGGAGAGGCAGGCTGTGTACTGGGAGCGGCGCCGGCGCTCCCGGAAGGCGCACGGAAACTTCACTTCCCGGCGTCCCTGGCGGCGGAGCCTCGGCTACGGGGGCCGACGAGGGACGCGTCCGGGCGGGTGACTCTGCTCCACGCGCCATGGGTCACCTGGGAGTTGGGCTGCTGCTGCGGTGGCTGCGGGCGCCGCGCTGCGTTGGGTCGGCCCTGCTGTGGGGAGAGCGGGTAGCGGTCGGCGGCGCCCGGGCCTACAGCTCCACTCCCGCCTGGGATGGACTCGAGGGGCCGGCGCGCCAGCGCTCCTACTGGCGCTACGTGCGGCGTCTGGTGCAGGGAACGCCGGAGCCGCCGTACCCGCATGTGTGCCAGGTCGGGGATCCGGCGCTGCGGGCCGTGGCGGCCCCGGTAGAGCCGGCGCAGGTGGCGGGACCCGAGCTGCAGCGGCTGGTGGAGCGGCTAGTGCAAGTGATGCGGCGCCGGCACTGCGTGGGCTTGAGCGCACCGCAGCTCGGGGTGCCGCTGCAGGTACTGGCGCTGGAGTTCCCCGAGGCGCTCTTCCGCGCTTGCGCGCCGCGTGTGCGCGAGGCCCGTCAGATGGAGCCCTTCCCCCTGCGCGTGTTCGTGAACCCCAGCCTGCGGGTGCTGGACAGCCGCCTGGTCACGTTCCCTGAGGGCTGCGAGAGTGTCGCTGGCTTCCTTGCTTGCGTGCCCCGCTTCCAGGCGGTGCAGATCTCAGGTGCGGAAAGGTGGGGTCCCTGGGGCGGCGACTGGGTGCCTGTGTGCTTCCAGTCAACCTGTGTAGGCGGCAGGTTCGGATCCCACGAAACAGTTTACACCAAGTTGCAGTTAAAATGTATACACGTTGATGGCTGATTTGAGGAGCCTACCGACAGGAACAAAGAGCAGACCCTAGAGTGGACGAAATTCAGGACTGATGGGACGGGGCAGGAGGTGCTGTGGGAGCAGAGCCAGCTCAACTGGGGCACAGGGGTGGGGACTGGAAGGGGGGGCCTGGCTCCGCTGTGAGCGCTCACCCCGTCCTCTACCCTGTCGCTCACTCTGTGTCTCTTTTCTCTCTCTCACACACACACACATCTCTGCTGCTATTAGATCTGTCGTGGTGGCTTGGGAAAAGTGGAACCCAGCTTTGCCTAGCTCAGGGTGATAAGCCAGTACCTGTCGGTCATACCTCAGGATATTCTGCAGAATGTGATTCTTTGCTGGAGGGTTGGGATGGTGGTTCTTCTTGAGCAAGCCACTTGGGAAGATCATTTCTCATTTTAGCCCCATAGTGAGCCTAGCAACCCACCTGTCAGGATTGGGAACCTGGTTGAATACTTGGTAGAGTCAGAGTTCAGACTTCGTTTTTAGGATGGAGAGGGGCTGCCGTCTGCATTCCCTTCTGATGTTGCCTCTTGTAAACACAGCCAGGGACAGGGAAAGTCTCAGTAGGTTGAGAATGATGGAGTTCCAGCATGTCCTCACGCAGGCTGTACCTTCCTTTGCAGGGTTGGACCCTAGAGGAGAGCAGGTGGTGTGGCAGGCAAGTGGGTGGGCAGCCCGCATCATCCAGCACGAGATGGACCACTTGCAGGGCTGCCTGTTCATTGACAAAATGGACAGCAAGACGTTTACAAACATCCACTGGATGGAGGTGAATGACTAACCAAGACACACACACTCTGGCTTTGAGCTGGGCACATCTTCCTTGCTGGACTTGGTGTTGGCTCTGCTCTGACAGAAAACAACGGACTGCCAGAGCTACCAAACTGAGTTGGAGGAAGATGCTAAAAATGTGTACTCTGAAATGAGCTATGGACAATATATTGCTTTCAACTTGAGAAGAAAAATATCCCCCCTAAAAGAGTGGACATTTCCTGGCAATTTTGTATAGAGATGGAAGGTGAGGGGTGCAAATAAATAGCCATTCTCAGTAGATGTGATTTCAGAGGCGTGTAGCCATCTATTCCCCAAGCCAAGATTAGATAATGATGTAACCCCCAAACATCTGAAAGCTGTATTTAAAATGCAGATTAAGGTTGTGGTTGATCGTCTTCACCAATTTCTTATGTTACAGAGGGTCTATGAGTGTTACTCGCATAGTCTCTGTTTTGGAATCCAGTCTGCCTGTGGAAGTAAAACACAGGACAGAATATCTCCAGTTCAATGACACTATTAACGTAACTGAGTAGTCATACATTTTTCAAGGTTCAGATATAGTTTAGGTCTCGGGCTTTTGCTTTCCACCTTTAACAGGCCTGGGGAAGATTCTTCTGCTGAGATCTCTTAGGTTGCTGGTACGTGGCTCGTTTTTTGGGTGGAGGCCATGGAGCAGGGCTGGGAAGGGGGCAGTACAGGTTTCCCTATGATCTGAAAGAACATTCTGATGAAGCCTTTCCTAAGCTGAAATAGCATACATGGAAGAAGCAGTTACCTTAGGACACATCATGCTAACAGATGCACAAAATAAATCGAGAAACAGCACAGATGCCCACAGACACAGTTCAAAGCGATGGCGACTTGACGCTGAGAGGCTGAGTGTAGCTCCTGGGGAAGGAGCTTGGTGGTGCCCCGCTGGCTGCTCTGAGTGCTTGTTGCTTCTGTAAGAGCTTGCTGCAAAACAGAAGCTGAATGCTGTTTTAGCTTTTGCCTTTTTTTGTAAAAGTGAAAGTCCTCTTCAAGTTTCTTTCCATTTGAAAACAGGTACTAATGTAGGTCTTTCATAAAAGTGAAGCAGTGCAAAGTGGTTTCAACAAGTGGGGACTGCCTGTAGTTGAGAAGAAGCAATGAGCCTCCTGTCACAGTCAGGGCAGAAACAGAAAGCAGAACTTCTGCTTCCTCGTCACCACACTTACTCTGAAAAAATAAACCAGCATCATGGTGACCTCAGTTTTAGCTTTAAGATTCTGTCAGAGCTTTGTCAAGAGGTGAAAGAACCCATTTTTATGTTGAGTTTTGCCATGCAGGTACTTTTACCGAAGTCCTCCAAATTCCAAGCACAGGTATAGTAAGAAGTCCAGTAAGCTGTTTATAGAGAAAATGTATCTTAAATGGCAGTTAATGAAACGACCCAGGAAAGACCCACTCTCCCCAGGTGCTTTCTCTAAACAGCCAAGTCTGGGGGTGTGTGAGGCCAAGCAAGCCAGCCGAGTCTGGCTTTGTGTCCATCACGCTTCAGGGAGGAGCAGGGCCTAGCAGCTGCCCTGAGGTGAGGACAGACTCAGCCCTGGCGGAATCTGTAGTAAGCTCTCATTTATACTGAAAACATGGCTCCTTAGGAAAATTAGGATTCAGTGAGCTTCCTTTCCCTTGCAGGATCGGATTAAAACATTCTGAAGGTTCCTTACTGGCCCTGAGGTTAACAGTCCTTAATCATGCCTTTGTTATACAGATTGGTAGTATCTGCTGGATGCTTCCTGACTTAAGGTCCAAAAGTCAATGACTGCTCAATGGGGAAAGCCTGAGATTCTGTTGCTGACAATAGATTAGATTTATGGTTGTAATAAACAAGGATGGATTTGATCAATTAACCCTAGACAGTACAACCCAAAGACAACAAATCCCTGCCTCTACGAGGAAGAAACTCTCTTCCACCTTGGGCAGATACATCAGCTGCAAGACCACACACATGATTCAGCACCTTGGGCTAATGAAAGTCTTAGAAGTCAACTTCCAGAGAGTAAATCAATGTAGGCAGAGGGTTAAGAATGGAATCGCCAGTTAGGGAGGAAGTGAATTTCAGAGTAAGTGCTTAGGGAAGGAAGTTCCTCTGCACTTATTAGCCATGTTGAGCATCACCACTGTGCCAGCCTCAGCAGCGAACAAGACGTGTCTGCCCTGTCACTCAGGGTAGAGAGAGAAGTGGGAAGGCAGAACAGCTGTGATGAGAACTGTGACGATGAACCCCAGCAGCCCTCTGGTAGCCCCTGTGACTTGCCAATGCATTCAAGCAGCAGCAAGAAGGAAGCAGGTTGAAAGTTGAAAAAAAAAAGGCAAGGGCCTTCTGATTTAAATAAAGGTAACGAAATACAACTGACTACAATGAAGCAGTACAGGGAGGGGGTGGCCAGTTGGTTTTTGAATGGTATTTTCAAATGGTAACTGGTGGCCGAGGGTCCATAACTAACTAATCAGGAGCATGATGTGGAAACTCTCCAGCAAGTGACACAGCTCCCCCGACCCAGCACAGCACCATCTGGAGGTCAGGCCTGCTGATGCTCCAGGTAACAGGAGCAGGGCTGACCCACTGCACTGGAAAGGAAGGAGCACTGCGCCTAAGCCTTCATTCAGCAGAAACCCCTACCCATATCAAAGAAACCCCACAGTGCAATGCTAACAACATCAAGAGGCGGCCACGTCTCATCAGTCGTGGGCCATTCTGGTTGGAGATACTGAGGACTGGGAGGGGAGGAGAGCTAGAGCAACCGGATGCCAGGCTGCTCCTGCCGCCCCTCAGACAGTACCCCCAGGCCTGCCATCAGCTCTGGAGCCGTGGCTGCCCCACTACCAGGAATCACAAACTCAAAAGGCCACCGGGGCTGGACAGGAAATGCCACGGAGTGAGGCAGTCCGGGTGGGGAGGGTGAGCCGGAGGGCACAGTCCCCTGACGCAGAAGGCAGATCCTGGACGCAGGGCCAGGGTTTCCCTAACCTGCTTCAGAAGCCAGAGATCTCAATTTTTGTCAGCTCTTGACTTTTAAATGTTGGCAGCAGACCAAACCAAAGCACAACCGCAGCCCGTGTCTAGACCACAGGCCTCTCTGCTTGCAGCCTCTCATCTGGAAGTTGAACAAGAACTGCCCAGGTCCCTGAAACACACCCACCACTTCCAAGGCTTTGGGGGAAGAAAGGTCTTGTGAAAGCGATGGGAGAATGGGAACTGCAGCTGCTGGTGACATTCCTGTTTACTTGCAGCTCCGCTGAAGAGAGCAGAGACCAGAGGGTCTTTCTAGGGGAAGCAAGTGTGGCCTTCAAGGAGCCCGACAGGAGTCAAAGATGAGATCGCTCTCAGGCGGCTCAAGAAACGAAAAGGGTTTATTAGCCCGCTTCCAGGACAGGGATCCAGCGCAGAGGCTGGGATCAGCGTTCTCACATTCAGAGGGATTAGAAAAAGGCAGCAGTGACACTTGCCTGACTGCCTTCCCTCGGTCTGATCTACAAGCTTTGTGCTCACAAAAACCATCCTCTCCTCCTGCAGGGAGGACACAGGGCCCGGAGGGAGTGAATGGCTTGGCTCTACTTGTGGCCCTTACAGGCAGAGTCTGGGTTGGGGACTCCAGGCAACAGCCATTCCCTTCACATGGAGCAATACTTGGATCCGGACAGGAGGGGCAGCGGGGGGCACTGGGCAGCTGTTCTGAAGGGCCACTGCGCCAACCCCAAGGCTGGGGGCCGCTCCCACTCCTGACACCTTGGGCAGGTTTTGAATTTATAAACAAGTCAAAAATCCAAGCAGCATTAATTTAGGGGAACAAAGAGTGGTTTAAAAAAAAAACCATGGGAGCGGGGCAGGACAAGGAGATGGTGAGCATCCAGAGGAGGAGGAGGAGGAAGCAGGAAGAGCCAGTACCCCCAGGCACCGAACGTGCTTCTGCGACTCCGTGGCGGGGAGGCCCTTCCTTCCTGCTCCCACTGACGGCCGGTCAGCAGGGGGATGCCGCAGTGGCCTTGGGACGAGCGCGGGAGCTCTGTGTGGCCACTGACCTGGGGAGTACTGTGGATTGACCCCAATCAACCTCCCACCTTCACCATCAGGCAAGTGAAGAAGCTTTTAACTCTCCTGTCCAAAGTCCTCTGAGAATTTCTTCACTTTCAGGAGGTCTTCTGCATTCACAGTGGGCCGAGTGGTGGCCAAAGACCGGAGCATGTCCGACTGCAAAAAGAAATGCGGGCAGGTGAGGGGGGCTGGGCTCCAAGCCCAGCTGAGTCTCAGCCACACGCAGTCCAGGGTGGGAAGAGCCCTGCCTTGAAGGTCACCTCCAAGCCCCAAATGCAGAACCTGGCTTCTGCCCGAAGGCCTCCTGGGGCAACCCATGACATTTCTGGTTGAGGGAATCTTAAGTCCCTGTTATCTCCTAACTCCTGTGAGAAGCTCTTTGTAAGTGCACGCCCACCACACCAGGCCCAGTGATCTTGCCTGACACCACCTCACAGCAGAGCCAAGACCACTGGCAAGGCTGAGATAAGGAGAGGCCAGGAACAGTGAGCAGAGTGGCTGCCTGTCCAACTGCACCAAATCAACAGTGCTGAAGACAGCTACCAGTTCCTTCTGGGTTAGGAGGCCAACCCCAGAGGTACCAAAGAAGCAGTCCTCACCTGGCCTTTACTCTTCCTGTTGAAGAAGATACAATTCTAACACTACGGCCTCCAGCCTGGGTCCCTACTGAGTCTGGTATAAGGAGCGCCAGCTCCTCAGAGCCCCAGAGACCATTCTTTCTAGGAGGAGCCACAATAGCCCAGAACATGGAAGGGGAGGAGCAGATTTTATTTTTGGATCCAAACCCCCAGGTTCCTGGGCTCTCTATAGTCCTCTCTCCCAGCCAGCAACTTACCATGCAAACTACAGGCTCTAGCAGTTTGTCACCAGGGACATCCATCCAAGTCATCTCCATGGCCCCTGGGTCCCCCGGCGAGCATGGGGTCAGGAGGTCATCGATCATAATGCTAGGGTTGGTGCGGGAAGGGCCACAGACCTGAAACCAAACAGGAGCCTGACTGGCTGGCGGGGCTGCCCCTTGGCATCCGGGGAAGGGGCAGGACACCTCGGGTTTCTGAGCCCTGAGGAGAAGGTGACAGCGTGATGTGGACGAAGGCCTGGGTTTCTAGATCAGCATTCTGATCTGAGTGATGGGCTCCTTCAAACTCTTGGGCCCTGGGAGTCTGGGTGGCTCCAAATCTGATTTCAGAGGTTTGCAATCAGCATGCTGTTTCAGTTGTTGTTCTCCAGAACCGCAATCTGTGACCCAAAGGTCTAGAAAGCTTCCTTTCCTCATCAACTCCATCAAATCTCACCATGAACGCAGTGACGTCAAGTGCTTTTCCAACCGAAGGCTGCCTGCTCCGTTGGCAACATTTCCCAAGTATCCAGGGCTCAACGCTTACGTCCTTCAACTCCTGACTCGGTTCACCCAGGGCGCCCCATCCATTAAGAGCGCAACCTACCCATACCCCCTCCAAATTGCAGAACACCAGCCCTCCCTCCCTTGCCCTGTTTCCCCCATACCCTCTAAGAAAGGAGTCTTTGCTGTCTGTCTCCCCACTAGAAACGAGGCTCCTGTAAGGGTTTCCATCTGCTGTGGTCACAGGTGTCGCCCCAACACCCAGAGCGGAGCCAGCAGTGCCCGCAGTGACCCTGACAGACATCTACCGTGTAAATGCAGTTCCTCTTCGTGGTGTGCCGTTTTTGCGGCCCTTGCTTTCACACACGCAGCAGGGTCCACCACATGCATCAGCACAGAGCTGACGCAGGGGGCGGAGGTGGTGGTCACGGCGCCCTGTCGTCTGGCATCACCCGATTTGAGGTGGTCACCCTCAAGCCAGCACTGCAGGGTTGATGGGAGCAGGTACAGCCCAGGCCCCTGAAGGCCAAGAACTCACCACGCACTTAACCTCAGCTTAACCCAGATGAGTGGTCACCCAAGCAGCCAGAGAGCCAACATCCCCTTTCCTGTGACACTCTCTAAGCGGCTCCTTGTGGGCCCGCTCACCTTTTTGAAGTGTGTTGCCGACTGCACTTTCCTCACGGGCTGCATGAGGGAGTCCCGCACAATGACGCTGATGTCTGCGCCTGAGTAGCCCTCCGTCTTCCGGGCCAGCTCGTGGATGTTGGCGTCTGTGAGGTTGTGAGGAGTGCTTCCCAGATGCAATCGGAACATCTGGGCGCGGGCAGCCTCCTCCGGCAATGGGATATAAATTCGCTTTTCAAACCTAGAGAGCCAAGCACACAGCAGGACTTGAAAGCGGAAGGCGGGACGGTCTCAATGGAGGGCTCGGGGGCCCTCCAGAAGCCGGCCTCACTAAGGGCTCTGCAGACTCGGAGAAGCCGCCAGAGAAACAGGGTCCAGCTACATGCCTGCTGCCAGCTGTAGGCTGACCACAGCTGGAGACAGACCTCGGCCCTGGGCTCCTCCAGGGAAGACTCACCTCCTTCTAATGGCCGAGTCCAACACCCATGGGATGTTTGTGGCACCTAGCACCAGAGTCCCATCATTGTTGTTCCCCACCCCTGTGGACAAAGGGAAACACAGACACTGACTCAGCACCTGCCAGGCTCATTCAGGACCTGGGGGGGAGGACCTCGGGAGCTCTGTCCTGAACTGGAGCTGTCTCCTGATCCCCCCGGCAGGGCCCTGGCAAGCCTTACTGGGGTACAAGCCCCACAGCCCTGCCCGCCTCGGGAAGGGTGGAGAGGCGGCCGGCCAAGGCCTCAATGAGAAGGAGCTAAGAACTGCTTCTCTGCTAGTCCCTCCACTGTAAGGGCAGTCAGATTCAGCCACAGCTAAATCAAAGTCCGGGGCTGGCTTCAGGTGGGGCGAGGAGTGGGGAGGAGACCGGGGACTGGCACACACCCTGCATCTGGACTAGGAACTCCGTTTTGATCCTGCGGGCAGCCTCGCTCTCATTCTCGTTGCGGGATCCGCAGAGCGAATCCACCTCGTCGATGAAGATGATGGAGGGCTTGTGCTGCCGGGCCAGCTCGAACAGGTTCTTGACCAGCCTGTGAGGGGAGACACGGGTGGTATCCCGGCCCAGCCCGGGTCCCTGGCACCACCCTCCTCTTGCCCTTCCCTCGGAGAGGCTGAGTCGACAGAAAAACAGTGGTGACAAGTCCTCGGGCAGCCCTGCACTGGGAGGATGAGCAAGCCTCAGCATCAGTCTCAAATCCGGCAGCCCCGTTCATTAGCTCTGGATGGAGGACAAGTCCCTTCCCTTCCTCTCAGCCTCAGTCTCCTCATCTGCAAAATGGGAGCCAGTGTGGGGAATGAGTTAACTGTATGAAGTCCCCAGTGGAGGACACTTAGCTGAAGCCCAGTTACTGTCAGTGCCTCTCCTTTCCCCTCATGTGGATTCATGGCTCCCAAGTGGCCTTCCAGTCTCGGCTGGCTCTGTCAGGACAGCGTCCCACCTGACAAGCTAGCAAGATACCCCTCTCCCGGCGCCTCTGGGAGGCGAGTCCAAGAGCCGGGAAGCCGGACCACAGGCAGCCACTGCAGCTGCCGTGGGAGCGGAGCCTGGCGGTGGACTCACTTCTCGCTCTCCCCCAGCCACTTAGACATCAAGTCTGAGGAGGACACAGAGAAGAAGGTGGAGTTGTTGGCCTCCGTCGCCACTGCTTTGGCCAGGTAGGATTTCCCGGTGCCGGGAGGTCCGAAGAGCAGTATCCCCCGCCAAGGAGTGCGCTTGCCTATGAGAAAGAATGAACTCGTGTGAGCTTCTTCCTGACTGGGGAAAGGGAGAGAAAAAAGCAGAGGGACCGGAGTCACGGTAAATACGGCCAAGAATAAACAGCTCTACAAGACGACTTTGCTGTAGGAGCAGAGGGGTCAAGGCAACTAGATCACCTGCCAAGAGCTTGGTCCTGGCCCGGGCTCCTGACCCCCAAGACCGGCAAAGTGACGCTGGCTGGCGCAGGACGCCCTGCCTACCACTGGAACGACTCGAAGTTCTAGTCACGAAAGTGTCTCTGACATGGAGAGAAGCCAAGGAGTAGGTGACCTCAGTGAGCTGGCCCTGGACCCTCCCTTGATGGAGAGCGCTCAGGAGGGCCAGGGCCTCGCCTGCCAGGGGCGAAGGGAGCCGAGCTGCCACCCACCCCTTGGATGCCTACATCAGGGGGGCCCTGAGCTGGCGCTCTCAGAAGCCTGACTTTTGTGCACTGGGGCCTAACGTGGCTTAACTCTTACCTGTGAACAAGTGCGGGAATTTAATTGGCAAAATGACAGCTTCTTTGAGGGCCTCCTTGGCTCCCTCCAGCCCGGCCACGTCATTCCACCGGATGTTGGGCTTCTCCATCACGACGGCACCTGCAGGACCAAGACGGAGCCTTCGACCTGGAGCCTGACCTATCTGGGGGGTCCCTGCCACACCCACCTCCCACCACCATGGCCTCAAGCTGCTTACCCATCAGCTGCTCTTGCAATTTCTTTTTCTCTGGATTATCTCCTTCACTGTCACTATCGCTGCTGGGAAAGGAGACAAAAGACAACAGGCTGGAGTGAGAGGCAGCTAGCAAGGCGGCTCAGAGAGCGAGGCCAGGCTCTGACGGCCAGCCCGGTGCTGAGCAGACACTTTCCCTGCTCGACAGTGGTTGAGAGGTCCACACGCAAGGCACCCCAAGGATGTCGGGGCTGCACATTGTCAGCAATCCTCTCTGGACCCTCCAGGAAACACTCTCCTCACGCACCCTCACTTCTTCACGAAGGGCAGAGAACTGAGATGTGTGCGCTCTCATGAAGGTCAGTGAGGGCCCTGTGCGCTGGCTGGACCTCAAGAGCAGCCGGCAAACACTGGGAGCTGCTCCTGGCCTTTCACAGGGGCTCGCAGCAGGACAGTACGTGGCTGTGCCTCCAGGGCCAAGCCCGACCCGGACACGTCATGTGTCATCCTTAGAACTCTTCCAGGCCCCTGGGTGGGTCCTTTCAACCCAGGGGCAGAGCTGACACATCACCTTTCTGTCTCCTACTCCACCACCTCTGGGCTGCACACCCTCCCTTCACCTCCAGGACATCACTGGCCTTTCTGCTCAAACCACAGATGTGAGGTGAAAGGCTGTGGAGGGAACGCTGGCTTTAGAGCCCAAAACAGAGCCCCCAGGTCTGGGTCCAGACCCCCTCAAGTAACAGCTCTGTGACCGTGGCCATCCCTGAACCTGTCTGAGCCTGCTGCTGTCCATCACGTGACGATGAGACCCTCTGATAACACAGCAGGCACTTATTTGATCCTTACTGCGCTCCAATCTCTCTTCTCCGGGCTTTTCCTGCATCATCTCATTTGCTCCTTAGGGCAACACTGGGAGGGAAGTCCCACTACCTTCCTCCTACAGATGAGGAACCTGCAGGCCCAGCAGGGTCATGGCGCTTGTCCAGGGTCACATGACTAGGAAGTGGCAGCGCCAGGCTAGATCCTGACAGTCTGGCTGCGGAGTCCAGGGCTGACTCCCTGCCCTGCCCACAGCTTTTCCATCCAGATCTACTGAGACAACGGATGTATGTTTCCTGTAAAGGGCTCGGTGAAGGCAGCTGCAGGCATCGTCTCTATTACAAGTAGAATTCCCCAAAGGACAGCACCAAGATGACGGCGACACAGGAAACGGACCCTGCTGGAGGGGGTGCTGGCCCCGCCGGGGTCTGCACCCCTCGGTACTCACCCCTTGCTCTCGTTTTGGGTTTCTCTGACTGGCTTCTTGCCATGCTTCTCTTTGTTTCGTAAGTAATCCTTCAGTTTCTCCGCCCGGTCCAGGTACTGCATGCACTTGGCTCGAATGCTCTCCTTGGCCTTGTCGCTGTGTGCCTCATCTGCAGAAGGGGAACCGCGGAGGGGCCCCTGTGAGCGCGCGTGCCCGCCTCCTCTCGCGGAGGCTCTGAGGCTAGGCAGGGCCCTGCGGGGACTCACATTTGATAGCATGCAAGAAGTACTCCACGGCATGCTGGTAGAGCCGGAGCGCCTCCTCGTAATTCTTGGCTTTATCCTCTTCTGTGGCTTTTGTCACCAGATCAATGGCTTTCTGGGAAGGCAAAACACACAACCCAGTGCTTCCCACGAGATCCAGAAAGCCCCTGGGTTCCGGGCAGCAGGAGTACACTGATAAGAGATATTGCCAGGCCCGGGAATCCATCAGCTGCAGACCTTTATGTTGGCCTACTTGTCCAACAACTAGAAAGGCCTTGAAAGGAAGCTTTAAAAGACAGCTGTCCCGCTTCACAATATACTCATACAGTTAAAAGCAACTGCCTTCTCAGTCAAGCGGAAGCCTGATCAAGTATCTCAGGTTAGGGCTCAAAAGGAGAGTTCACTTTCTATTTCGCAATTTCAGGGGAAAGAGACATAGAGCTGGACTGGGAGCCTGCAACAGGGCAAACAGCAAAACCAACTGATTGCTGCGCTGTTCAGATGGAGGCCAGAAACTGCCCTTGACCCTGTGGGCCAGAAAGGACCCAGCCAGCTAGGAAAGTCCTTCATCAACCTGAGAGTTTTATGATATGGACTTAAAGGGATCTCTACTTTTTTGTATTAGCTCAACTCACTTCTCTAGGCTGAAAAGAGAAGACAGTTTTCCTAAAGTTGATTCCTAGGGAAGGGATGCTTAGCCATGTGACTCAATACACGGATTGAGGACCTCTTCCTGGAGGTCCAGGAAGAAAAGTGCCTGCTTACTTCAAAGGCATCTATGTGCTGCCAGTGGTGGGGAGCTTCCAGACCCTACTAAGAACTCTGCAAGAGTGTCTTTGTGAACCTCCTAAATCCTGTAGGCCTGTGCTCTGGACTGAACTGAAAGCCTGCTGGATCTCAGGCAGCTGCCCTACACCTACACATCCAGTTTTAGAAACCATGGCTTCACCAAGCTGGGAAGCACTACCAGAATTATCCTCCTCAAACAGATAGCACTAGACAGCAGGCCGGCAGAAACCACTGGCCACACAGTGAACAATAAGCCTCCTGACTAGCTCTTGGCAGGGCCCAGGGCCTCTGTGCAGCCCTTTCTCATCTGAAAGTAAGAAGTCTCAGAAAAACACAGAGAGCTCTACAGAACTAACAGACTGGGAGAGGTCAGGCCAGGTTGATGTTATACAAGCTCACCAGCTTGAAGAGATGAGGAAAGGCTACTGTTTTCTAGCCTCAGTGCCCTACACTCCTTACAAACAGATAATGGCTGGGAGCCCTGAACCTTCCTGGATGATCAGCTTAGACACAGACTTCATGTGTTTACTGTCCTCCACGAGGCTGCCCTTCAGACAGACATGAAACGGGGTGCTCCTGTCACCAGGGGCTTTGCATCTCCAGAACACACCCCCAGGTCCTTGGACTTTTCCACTCTACACACTTTGCTTGGGTCTTTTTTGAAAGGTGGGGGGGGGGGGGGTTCAGAGCGATACTCTAGGAATGCTCTGCTTTTCAGGTGGCAAAGCAGGCCCACCCCCTCCCTCCTTCTAGATCCTCAGTGCACCTCAGAGCACAGTCACTGCTTCTGGCAACCATACATAGTTTTTCACATACAAGAGGCCTGAGCTGCAATTTAGAGTCAAACAGTTTTGCTTAACAGGAGGCAAAGGTGACAAAACTGTCAGCTCTGTGGAATCTCTAGTAACAGGTGTGGCAGAGGATAAGGATGAAAGAAAAGGGTAACAAAGACATGCTAACAGGTGGCAAATTTTCCATAAAGGACCAGAATGTAAATATTTTAGATTCTCCTGCAGTATAATCTCCTTGCAACTACTCAACCCTGCCTTTGTAGCCCCAAGGCAACCAGAGATAATACGTAAATGAAATGAGCAGGGATGGGTTCCAATAAAACTTTACAGACACTGGAATTTCAATTTCATGACTGTCACATATCATGAAATATCCCTTTTTCCATACACTTAAAAATGTAAAAACCGGGGCTTCCATGGTGGCTGAGTGGTCAAGGAAGCCACCTGCCAATGCAGGACACACGGGGTTTGAGCCCTGATCCAGGCAGATCTCGAATGCGATGGGCACCACAGCTACCGAGCCAGTGCCCTAGAGCCTGGGAGCCACAACCACTGCAGCCCTCGCAGCCTAGAGCCTGTGCTCTGCGACAGCGGAAGCCGCCACAATGAGAAAGCCTGGGCCCTGAGACCAGAGTAGCACCTGCTCTCTGCGGCTAGAGAAAAACCCACACAGCAATCAAGACCCAGGAGAGCCAAAAAATGAAATAAAATTTTTTTTTAAATGAAAGAACCCATCACACAGGATCACATATTATTGATATATAATTCCATTTATATGAAATGCTCAGATCAGACAAAGGCTTAGGGACAGAGAACGGATTAGTGGTTGCCTAGGGTTGGGAGAAATAGACATTTGGGGGGTGGAGAATTGTGACTGCTAAAGGAGGCAGCATTTCCTTCTGGAGTGATGAAAGTGTTCTAAAAGTGATTGTGACGATGACTGTACAACTCTGAATATACTGTGAAAGTCACTCAGTCGTGTCCAACTTTGTGACTCCATGGACTATATGGTCCATGGAATTCTCCAGGCCAGAATACTGGAGTGGGTAGCCTTTTCCTTCTCCAGGGGATCTTCCCAACCCAGGGATCAAACCCAGGTCTCCCACATTGCAGGCGGATTCTTTACTAGCTGAGCCATAAGGGAAGCCCAAGAATACTGGAGTGGGTAGCCTTTCCCTTCTCCAGCAGATGTTCCTGACCCAGGAATTGAACTGGGGTCTCCTGCATTGCAGGGGGATTCTTTACCAGCTGAGCTATCAGGGAAGCCTCTGAATATATTAAAAGCAGTGAACACTTTAAATGGGTGAATTGTATGGCATGTGAGTTATATCTTAATAAATGTTTCCTTTAAAAAAAAAAAAAAAGGAAAAGGCATTCTTAGCTCACAAGCCCTGGGAAGGTGAGTTCTGCAAGCCATGTTGGTCCACCCCTGGGATAACAGCTTCCATTGGTGGCTGTTAAGGTTTGACTCTGGACACCAGCAAATTCCTGGCCTAGAACCCACTGTATTCCATGCCTCTGTTTCCCTCTTTCTCTCCACCTGGAGTAACTATCCCTCCCTCTGCTGCTGGTATCTGCCATCCCCCCATTCTTTGATTACCGACCCAAATGCCTCTTCTTCCTCGACCTCATGCCCAACTCCCCCAAGCACTGCACCTGTCACCACTTAATGAGCACTTAATACGTAGCTGACACTGTGTTAAGAACACTTCACCTGAATCACTCGATCTAGAGCCACTACCACGACAACGCTACAGGGCATTACCCCATTTCACTGACAGGGAACCCGAGGCTCCAGGATCAGCTAACGAGCCCAAGGTCACATGCTAGTGAGTGGCAGAACCAAGATTCAAACTCAGGTCTGAGACAAGGAGAGCGCGTTCCTGTTTTCCGGTCGACCTAGGGCCAGCAGCACCTGGAGGATGGGTCAGTCATGCATCCAGGTGGCGCCACCCCAGCACCACCCGACGCGATCCAAGGAATGAATGAAGGGTCTTAGGCCGAGAAGAGGAAATTGGAGACCGGGGAAGGAACGGGGGTCTGTTCGAAGAGAGGCAGGAGGAAAAGGAGGGAGATCCAGCAGCCTGACCGCGGACCCGAGCTTCCCGGGCGTCGCTTGTGAGGCCCGGGTGAGGCTGATCCCCAAGGCAGCTCCGGGTCGCCAGCTACACACAGCGACCTCGGGGCTTGGCCCGGTCTAGCGGGCCGGGCATTCTAAACGCGAAGCGACCCACGGTTCAGAGCGCGAGAAAAGAGAAACGGGCACAGAACGACGGGGCGGGGGCGCGAGGCCGAGGCTAGGAGGAGGCCGCCAGCTCGCCCGCAGGCCCCGCCGCGCCTCCTTCGGCCTCCGTAAGCCGGGCTGGGCCGCGCCGAGGTACCTGGAGGGTTGGCGTTGTCATTTCATCTCCTGGGTCTGCCCCACACCCCGCGGCGCTGCTTGCGGCCTCGGTCCTGCCCCGGGAGCCGAGGAGCTGGTCCGGCGCGGAGAGCACCAAGGGTCGGCGCTGGGCGCGGGCAGGGCGGCCGCTCGCAGCCGGAGCGGAGTCCGAGGGCGAGCGAGGAGGGCGGCCCAGAGCGGCCGGGCCAGAGCCGCGCGGCTGCCCCCGGCGGCCACGGCCGGCACTGCAGGCCGCCGCTCTCACCCGAGGCTGTGGGACCAGGGCGTGAGCCAAGGGGCGTGTCGGGGGCGGGGCGAGACTGGGGGCCCCCGAGGGGGCGGGGCCAGAAAGGACCGGAATGAAATCATCAAGTCCAGAATCCCACTTGGAATAAAACATCTATTGGGCAGGTTTTTCTCTCACAATAAGCCTGCCTTCTCAGAGCTTTGGGTTCCCGATGTTTAATAAGTTATACTACTACTAATAATTAGTATCTGCCTTGTCTGCCTTTTGGAGGAAATGAATGAGCGAGCTAACGTAAACAGTGTACCCCAACACTGGGTCTTAGACCCTGGTTACTGTTATTAAGATGCCAGTGGCTCTGTCTAAAGCCAGTTCTGTTTTCCTTTATATCCCTTTTCCTCCCCAGGAAAGTTATTTTCTTAGGTCTCCAGAACTGGGGGCTCTACCCAGGAGATCTTAAGCATACCAGATTGGTTATTAACAGACGCGCTGCGTGTTTAAAAACCAATAGGAAGAATCCACTAAAGAAAGCTGGCCGATGGGAATGGGACCAAAGCCTAGGTGGGTGGATTGGCTGCAGACAGTAAAGTGGGAGGGAGAAGATAGATGCCTACCTAGGCTGGGCAGAAGGTAACAACAAGTTAGGGGAGTACCTTTGGATGGCTTCTGTTTTCTTGGTGAATTAGAAGAGAAGAGAATCTGCTGTTAGAGGGAGAGAAGGTGGAAGGCTTGGGGTTTGAGGAGAGTAAGGATGGTTTGAAATCATTTCAAGTGAACAAAGCTGGTTAAGGGTGGCAACTCTATAAATGTATAGAGGTGACAATTTGTGTATCTGTTAATCCCAAACTCCTAATTTATCATTCCCCTTTCCTGCTTTAGTAACTGTCACTTGTACCATTTTTTAAGATTCCACATATAAGTAGTGTATCTTTCTCTTTCTGATTTCACTTTGTATGATCATCTCCGTTGTTGTTGTTGTATAGTCTATAAATTGTGTTTGACTCTTTTGTGGCCCCATGGACTGTGGCCCTCCAGGCTTCTCTGTCCGTGGGATTTTCCTGGCAAGAATACTGGAGTGGGTTGCTATTTCCTCCTTCAGGGGATCTTCCTGACCCAGAGATCAAACCCTCGTTTTCAGCATTGCAGGTGGATTCTTTACCACTGAGTCATCTGGAAGGTACATGATCATCTCTAGGCCCATCAGGTTCATCCATTTTACTGCGAATGACATTATGTCATTCTTTTTTATGGCTGAGCAGTATTCTGTTGTATATATGTACCACATCTTCTTTATCCATTCCTCTGTCACCAGCCATTTAGGTTGATTCCATGACTTGGTTATTGTGAATAGTGCTGCTATGAATATTGGGGTGCATGTACCTTTTCAAATTAGAGTTCTCATCTTTTCTGGATATATGCCCAGGAGTGGGATTGCTGGATCATATGGTAAATCTATAATTTTTTTTTAATCTATAATTTTTAAGGAACCTTCACACTGTCCTCTACAGTGGTTGCCTAGTTTGTTGTTTCTCACACAGTACTTTACTATATTGGGTTCTGATGACGCTGAGAATGTGTCACTTGTTGTAAACCCAAGCTTGGACCAGTAAGTCAACTCTGCTTAGCCCATACAACTTCATAAAATCAGACTGGTTCATGCCAAAAATGGGTCCTGAGCAATTTGTTAAGGAGCTACTTGGTTGAGAGCAAGAACAGTGTGGGGGAGGAGGAATAAAAACAAGGTTTAGGATTGTAACATTTTGGGTAGGGCCAGGGCAAAATTATGCTGAGATATCACACAAAGTGAATGATACCAAAATAAATGGAGCACTGATCTCCTAGCAAGATTCCTGAGAAACTCTCACCTCACTTTCCTCTGTGCGACTGAATGTATGATAAAGCTCAGATTGATCCAGTGATTAAGCTCCCATCACACAGATGGTCAGTGGTAGAACTAGAACAAAACTAATTTTTAAGAGTTTTGAGTTGCCCTAAATCTGTTTAAAAATGGCATCAGAAGAAGCTAAGATGTGACAACCAAACACACGTGATACTGGATAGGATCCTGTGCCAGGAAGGGAACGGAAACATTCATTGTTGGGAAGACTGGCACCATTAAGTGGGGTCTTTGGATGGGTGGTAGTGCTGAACCAAAGTTGACTTCCTGATTGGGAGGGCTGTAGGGTGGCTGTACAGGAGAGAGTCCTTGTGCCTGCAAAGTACACTCTAGAGAATTTAAGGGTGATGAGCACCATGTCAGAGAAAGACGACAGGGTAATGGAACAAATGCGGCAAAATGTTAACAATCGGGAAATTTGGGTGATGAGGATGCAGGAGTTCTCTGTATTTTTTTTTTTAAGATTTACTTATTTTTGGCTGCGCTGGGACGTCATTGCTACACTTGGGCTTTCTCATGTTGTGGTGTGCAGGCTTCTCATTGCAGTGGCTTCTCTTGTTGCAGAACAAGGCTCTAGGCACACGGGCTTCAGTTGTTGCGGTGCATGGGCTCAGCAATTCCGGCTCATGGGCTCAAGAGCACATGATCAGTAGTTGTGGTGCACTGGCATGTGGGATCTTCCTGGATCAGGGATTGAACCTGTGTCTCCTGCATTGGCGGGTGGATTCTTTATCACTGAGCCACCAGGGAAGCCCCTTTGTACTGTTCTTAAAACTTTTCTGTAAGTTTGAAACTATTTTAATATTAAAAAGTGAAAAAACAAGTCTAAAAGCAACTCTTTTATTTACAGTATAAAGGTTACAAAGGTATATATGTATTTATATATATAATACCCTTAAGTTACAAACTTCATTGTAATGTACAATGCTCTATGTTGATGTGCAACTCAAGGGAAAGTGTTGTCTATGCATTATACTTACAGAGTACACATAAAGCTTTCTCATTATTAAGAACACAAATACTGCCCTGTTTTACACCATGGGTTTTGATTTGGTAGTCTGGTAATGCCAGAAGACTTGAGACCTAAATTTTAAACAATACTTAAAAAGAAGTCTTGTTTAAATACAGGATTCCAAAAGGAAGGAAAAAAACAGAATATCACATACTTTTAACTCCTTGTAGAAGTGTTATCCTAGCTTTCTAGGTCTTAATACTTAAAAAAATGAGAGTTGTGTGGGACAGAATACATACAAGAGGGTATAATCAGAGTTTGCACAGATCAGCCAAAACAGGCCTTTACAGGTGGTGTTTTGCCACATTAGTTTCTAAAAGACCTTGGGTCTGGTACCACAAAAGAAACAGATTCTTTGGGTACCCAGGTCTTATCACGCTGAACCCATCAGTGTTACAGTGTTACCCAGACTGTAAAACATAACACTGGAGTCCAAACTAGAGAAAAACAGTTGGAAATTGGTTCTTATGATAGAGAAGATTTGGTTTAAAGTATGAAGAGTGTCATCAAGACTGATGACTGTGCCAAACCCCAGACTTGTAGCTTAAATCATTTCTTTTCCTCCAAATTCTATTAATTCACAAAACAAGAGGTGACAAAATGTAACTGACACCCACCTGAACAGGACTGATAGAAGGAAAGCACTTCTTCCAGCCTAGGCAGAACAGACACTCACACAATACAGGCTGGTTCCAACAGAATCATTAGCACCTGATTGTCAAAGGGGGCGGTTTAAAGTAAAGACCATTAAAGGCATGACCTAAATTCTGTGCACAACTACAGGACACTGAAAACCGTGGAGAAGGAGCCCAGGAGATTGTGTTCCCCATGCCATTCCAGTCACAAACGTTTCAGCGCCTTTCTGGGCATGACAAAGGCTGTGGCCGAAAGGCTGCCTCTAGTGATAGATGGGAGGCAGGCTGGATAGAAAGGGACTGATATTGAAGGAAAAAATGGAAAAACTCATGCAACCTCCCTTCTTTTTGTAAGGTGCCCTTTTTACTGAGTTTGAATGCCCAAGAGTTCTAGAGTAAGTGAAATTTTGCTAAGTTTTAAATATCTTCATTATTTTGATTTCTCAGATGAAGCAACAGTCTATCTACCACATGTAAGGAGTTTGAGAAAATGAGATGTTTAAAAGCCGTAAGTGAAAAAAAATAAAATAAAAGCTGTAAGTGTGGAAATGACTGGATCAGCAGAATCTACAAAGGGGGGCGGGTAGATAAAATATACACTGATCTCTT